GAGACAGGAGGTTAAGCTCATCCAGAGCTTCACGAGGAGACAGGAGGTTAAGCTCATCCAGAGCTTCACGAGGAGACAGGAGGTTAAGCTCATCCAGAGCTTCACGAGGAGACAGGAGGTTAAGCTCATCCAGAGCTTCACGAGGAGACAGGAGGTTAAGCTCATCCAGAGCTTCACGAGGAGACAGGAGATTAAGCTCATCCAGAGCTTCACGAGGAGACAGGAGATTAAGCTCATCCAGAGCTTCACGAGGAGACAGGATTCCTGTGAGGCAGAAACAAGGAAGAGTTAGAATCTGGTCTCAACCTAGGAACAACCAAGACTCAGTCTATAGCAGAAGGTTCAGGAAGCTAACCAACTAAGATCAACACTGCGGCGTGGGATCAAGGTCAGGCAGGAGCTTATAAAGGAGAGGTCTTCTAATGAGAGGATTAGGAACAGGTGTGCAGGAAAGTTCCAGCTCCAGAAGACCCACAGCGCATCCTGCTGGAGACAGAGGGTAATCTCCAGATCCCCACAGTAACTCCAAACCTAAGGGAAAAACAAAGAGAGCAGAAGAGGATCCTCGGCGCCCTCTGGTGGGCAAGCCCGAGGATCCCAACAGAGCCCCCCCCTCAAGGGCGGATTCCAGACGCCCCCAGAAAAAAAATAAACAAAAAACAACCCACCCAGGGCGGGCGGAGGGGGCACTAGGGCGAGGAGGGCCAGAAACAACAAAGAACAGAGTCCAGAAAACAAAAACAACCCACCCAGGGCAGGCGGAGGGGGCACTAGGGCGAGGAGGGCCAGAAACAACAAAAAATAGAGTCTAGAAATCAAAAAACAACCCACCCAGGGTGGGCGAAGGGGGAAACAGGCCAGGAGGGCAGAAAACAGAAACAAAAGAAAACCCAACAACTTTCTTGGGCAAAATCTCTGGTGGCCGGTCAAGGGACCAGCAGCGAGACAGATTCTCAGGAGGCCGGCCGAGGGGCCGGCTGCAGGACACAGTCTCAGGTGGCCTGCCGTGGGGCCGGCTGCAGGACACAGTCTCAGGTGGCCTGCCGTGGGGCCGGCTGCAGGACACAGTCTCAGGTGGCCTGCCGTGGGGCCGGCTGCAGGACACAGTCTCAGGTGGCCTGCCGTGGGGCCGGCTGCAGGACACAGTCTCAGGTGGCCTGCCGTAGGGCCGGCTGCAGAACACAGTCTCAGGTGGCCGACCACGGGGCTGGGAACGAAGCAGCGTCTTAGGAGGACCACCGCCGGGCCGGAAGCATGGCAGAGGTTCAGGAGGCCGGCCTATGATCCGGCAACGGAGCAGAGTCTTAGGTGGCCGGCAGCGGGATCGAAGGCGACGTTGACACTCTGGGGGTCTGCCACGGGACCGGAGGCGAAGCTGATGCTCTGGGGGTCCGCCACGGGGCCGGAGGCGAAGCTGACGCTCTGGGGGTCTGCCGCGAGGCCGAAGGCGAAGCAGCTTATCAGGAGGATGACGCCCAAGCTTCAGTAGGTACCCCCACGGGGTACACCGTCCCCTCCTCGGCAGCTCAGGAACAGTCTCAGGAGCGGCCGCCGACTGCGGCTCAGGAGGAGGCTCTGAGGAGACCGCCGACTGCGGCTCTGGAGGAGGCTCTGAAGAGGCCGCCGACTGCGGCTCTGGAGGAGGCTCTGAAGAGGCCGCCGACTGCGGCTCTGGAGGAGGCTCTGAAGAGGCCGCCGACTGCGGCTCTGGAGGAGGCTCTGAAGAGGCCGCCGACTGCGGCTCTGGAGGAGGCTCTGAAGAGGCCGCCGACTGCGGCTCTGGAGGAGGCTCTGAAGAGGCCGCCGACTGCGGCTCTGGAGGAGGCTCTGAAGAGGCCGCCGACTGCGGCTCTGGAGGAGGCTCTGAGGAGGCCGCCGACTGCGGCTCTGGAGGAGGCTCTGAGGAGGCCGCCGACTGCGGCTCTGGAGGAGGCTCTGAGGAGGCCGCCGACTGCGGCTCTGGAGGTGGCTCTGAAGAGGCCGCCGACTGCGGCTCAGGAACTGGGTCTGGAACCGAGGAGCCCACCGATTGCGGCTCCGGGTCAGGAGCAGTGGAGCCCGCCGATTGCGGCTCCCGATCAGGAACAGGGGAGCCCGCCGATAGTGGCTCCGGGTCTGGAACAGGGGAGCCCGCCGATTGCGGCTCCGGGTCTGGAACATGCGGAATCTCCAACTGTGGTTCAGCCTCAGGAACTGGGGAGGCCACCGACTGTGGTTCCACCTCAGGAACAGGCGGGACCACCAACTGTGGTTCCACCTCTGGAAACGAAGGGATCACCCATTGAGGCTCAAGTTCAGCCTCTGAGGTGGCTTGGGGCGTCAGTGGAGGGTCCCTGGTGATTAGAGGCCTTCGCTGAGGGACTCTTGGAGGCACATTTTCACCAACACAAAACTCTGAAGCCCTCTTAAATGTATCCTCAAGGGTCTCTGGACGGCACAGGGCTAACTCAGGGGTCTCTGGACGGCACAGGGCTAACTCAGGGGTCTCTGGACGGCACAGGGCTAACTCAGGGGTCTCTGGACGGCACAGGGCTAACTCAGGGGTCTCTGGACGGCACAGGGCTAACTCAGGGGTCTCTGGACGGCACAGAGCGTGCTTATGGCGACGCCGTCTCTTACATCGGGGGGTCTTAGAAGCTAAACTGACGGGTTCACTGATTGGATCTGGCGATAAATAAACCGGTTGAAACGTAAGGGTACCAGAATGAATAACATGATCAGAAGCTAAGGGATCAGGCACGGGGTCAGGTTTAAAACTATCCGGGTTAATTACTAGTTCAGGATCAGAATCTGGCTGGCGTGGAACTCTGACTGATGGACGTGAAACTGGTGGACTAATTTTGAGGCTTCTAACGGATGAACTTAAATGGTGGTCAAGAACATGGGAACTAAGGCTAAACCGGCGCAAAGAGGAGTTGAAACTGGTTTGAGATGCTAGATCTAATCCTATGGCTAGTTCAATGAGGTCATCGAGGCTAGGTGGCTCGACGTAAAAGGAAAGCTCGGTTCTGACAGATTCATTAAGACCTAAGAGAAAAGCGGACTTGAGTGCAGACTCGTTCCAACCAGAAACGGCTGCTCTACCCAGGAACTCGGAAGAACATTCAGCAACGGACCTAATACCCTGTTTAAAATTCAGCAGGTAACTGGAAACGGAGAAACTAGAGGACTGGCTAAAGGTTCTTTCTAATTCTCGGATGAATCTCTCATATGTGTGGTTTTTTCTGGTCTTGAGCGGAAATTTTGTCTCTGCCCATTCAAGGGCCTCATCAGAAAGAAAAGAAACTACAAAAGCAATCTTATCCTTATCATTAAGAAAGCTAGTAGAATGAAAACTGAAAAATAACCGACACTGAAATAGAAATCCCCTTAGCTTACATGGGTTGCCAGAAAATCTCTCAGGAAGTGAAGGACCAGGTGACGAAAACGACGGACTGAGCTCAGAACAGAAAGGAGGGTTATCATCTTGACTGGAAAGTGACGGACGGACTTCCGGAAGTGACGAAACCGGAACCGGAAGTTGAACTGGCGCCATCTTGTGATTCCCACGAAGCCTGTGGGATCTTGAAACGTGTGTTTTCTTAAAGTCTAAATGGGATTTTAACTCACGGAGGGACTGTGTGTGATCAGGAGTCAGAGCGTGCTGTTTCTCAGATCTACGACGGAGGTGATCTGCTGGGCTTTGTGTTTGGCCGCAGTGTTCTGTCATGAAGGGTTATTGAGGCAAGCCCAATATGCAGAACACACACGGGAGAACTGGATAAAAAGTCCAAAAGAGTTTATTTTAGAACACAAGCACATGAAATAATGAAACGGTTCAGGCAGGTGACTGGTTCACTGGGGTCTGTACGGGGAACGGGGGATGGCTGGTAGCTGAGTTCATGTGAAGCTAGCATTTAGCTTCAGGCTTAGCCTGGCAGTCCTGGGTTTGAGCTTCCAGCTCTTAGCAGGGAACAACAGGGGAAAATCCACGTGGGAACCTCTAGGGAAACTCCACACAGAAGTCATCAGGCTTCATCCACGTAGGAATCTTCGGGTTGGCTCACCAGGGTAGATTAGCTGGTTAGACTCTCCTAGAGCTTCTGGCTTGAGACTGGTTTCTTGTGATGCAGCTCTCCCAGAGCTGCAGGCCAGAAACAAGTTGCCAGAGAGACTGCTCTTCCAGAGCTTCACGAGGAGACAGGAGGTTAAGCTCTTCCAGAGCTTCACGAGGAGACAGGAGGTTAAGCTCATCCAGAGCTTCACGAGGAGACAGGAGGTTAAGCTCATCCAGAGCTTCACGAGGAGACAGGATTCCTGTGAGGCAGAAACAAGGAAGAGTTAGAATCTGGTCTCAACCTAGGAACAACCAAGACTCAGTCTATAGCAGAAGGTTCAGGAAGCTAACCAACTAAGATCAACACTGCGGCGTGGGATCAAGGTCAGGCAGGAGCTTATAAAGGAGAGGTCTTCTAATGAGAGGATTAGGAACAGGTGTGCAGGAAAGTTCCAGCTCCAGAAGACCCACAGCGCATCCTGCTGGAGACAGGGTAATCTCCAGATCCCCACAGTAACTCCAAACCTAAGGGAAAAACAAAGAGAGCAGAAGAGGATCCTCGGCGCCCTCTGGTGGGCAAGCCCGAGGATCCCAACAGATTCCAATACTACATTAACTACTAGGATAGTTTGCTAAGCCCAAAGATAAGCATGCTTTCTGCATTTGGGTCAAACCATGACTGGTTTGTATTCATAAATGAAGTAAGCTGTGCTAGAGTCCATTAGGAAGCAGACAAAGATCACCTCAAAAAATTAGTTTTTGTTGGGTGTTTGATCCAGAGCAGAGTTCACTGGCCTTTATTCCCACCTGTACAAAAGGAAATACATTCTAGTCTGCTTGTGAATACATCCTTTAAGTAGAGCGCTGTGAGTGCATTAAACTGAAGTAAAATTTCAAATTTGTCAACACTGCCTTAGAAAATAAATCGGAAGCTGCTTGATAAAGTAGACAAAGAAGGACTAACCAGCTAATGTTCCGACCGCAGATCCCAGCACAGCATGGATGCCCATCAGTGGGGAGTAGAGAACAACGGCCCCCAGAATAAGCAGAGAGGGTCCCAGAGCTCCAGTTGCATAAATTTGACCAACACCAAGAGGGATGCCACGGATCACCTGGGAAATCATAGAGATTTTAGAAGAATTTTGTAAAATGCTAACTTTAAATCATGAAAAATGGTTCAAACATGTACTGAATTAAAGACTTTTACAAGTGTAAAAAGAAAAAAAAAAAATCAGTTTTTCCTCTCCTCCATCCTGCTTAAGTAGTTGTAATGACAACTGCTGCCTTCTCAGCAGTCAGTCAGAATAGCAGTTTCCATGGTGACATGAAGACTGCACCTGTATGTTGCTGATATTTACAAGTCATAAATGGTCTTAAATACATGGCAGCCTCACTGCTCCTTATGCCTTAATGTGAGTATGCATCTATATATCTGTAAAATTCAATGCACTATACATAAAGGCTCAAATCTTTCCTATGCAGCAAGACTGAAGCTGAGCACATTAAGTATAAATAGGACTGATGTCACCCCCCATCTCAGGAGGAAACCAGGGTGGAGTGAAGGTAAGGGATAGTGATGGCTAGAATAAAAATAATGGAGGAGGAAAACAAAAGAAAAGTGAGAAATAATAGCCGCTTTTACTAGAAACATAAATACAATGTACGACTTTTATTCATCCCCAAATGGCCAGCATAAATTGGGAATGGGAAAAGGGGTGAAATAAAAAAAAATTGACAGAGATGTAAAAAATGGTACAATAAGGTGAAAAAGTGGCATAGCTTGGACAAAAAAGGAGAAAGAAGAAAGCCTTATCATGACATACTGTCACACAATTGGTTATTGTCCACCATTAAACTGTTTTATATGGCAGGCTAGCTCAAACTCTGCAAGGGTTAAAGAACAGCAGTGGATTTAACTCGTGGAATTTAATGTGTTTCAGAATAGTTTTTGGACACTTTGGTGTGGCAATTTAACAGGTCAAGTGTTTAGGTCTTATGGCAGACAAATTAAGAAAAAGGTGAATTTTGTCAAACTCCTTGATGCTTATATCTTGCCATTGTTTTGATATTCCAAGAGTGCTACTGAGGGGATAATTGTGTCACACTTAATTTGTTATAAACCACCAGGGTTCGTAAGTTATTTTTTTGACATTTTGCACACAAGAAGCAATTTTGCAGGTCCCCAGTCATTTTGATGTATAACAATATTATCTCTTGAGAATCCGTTAACCTATAACCTGAACAATAAAATGTATTTTCTCTTGAAACACTGAAATACTAGCAAACCCGACTATAACAGCTGGTAATTTTGGGTTCATGTCAGGTTTGGTGGAAGTTAGTTGTGGATCCAAATGCAAAGATGAGTAGGCAGAGCTGAGCTGTTGCAGATTTAATTTAAATGCAGATGACAACGGAATGAAAAAGAACAATAAAAAGATAGACCAAAACCAGGAGAAACCAGGGAGAAACAAACATGAGGAGTGAAGCAATAAAGAAGAACCAGCAATGAGGAACTGCACAGGAGGTGTATATATGGGAGAAAGAACAAAGAATGGGCTAATCAGCTGATAGGGAGTAGGTGTGGAAAGAAGTAACTAGAAGGGAGCTAAGGGAAAGGAGGCTTGCACAAGAAGGAAACAGAGGGTAACTCAAAATAATACTACACTGCTTAAATACAACACAAAATTGAAGAGAAACCAATAACCAACAAAACACATAATGACATAAATCCAAGTGTAACTGAAAACTAAAAAAAAACTCAAATGGCAGAATCACAACAATTACTGTTGTTAAAGAAGCATATTTTGGTGTAAACATTTTTGTTAAAAACTAAAAAAGCATATGTTTTCAGAAGTTAAAGGTACTGTAGACTAGAGGATCTTTGCCAATTTTTGAAAAGACCCACCCTCTCCACTTTAGAAAAAAAAAATGCACATGCACAACCCTGTACCTGCTCCCGAGAGGGAACGCCTATTAATGGATTGCAAGAGCATGTACAAGCCCATTTCTCCTCATCCACACTTTGTTTACAAGTTGCTGTTTGCATCATTCATACAAGCTTACTTTTCAAAAGAAGATTTGCAATTTCTTCACTATGCCAGTCTTACCACATGTAAGTGAAAATGGGGACGAGCATGTAGGAGGGGCTTACGTAAACATATCACCAGAATGGCTGACAATAAGGAGGACCAATTATTTTGATGATCCACCCGGAAAAGGAAAATTTTCCACTATTAAACTATTAAACTGTATCAAGCGGCATTCTCTTTTTGGTCATGTTGGCTACTACTGCCATAATTAAACATAGTTTAATTATGATTGTTCAGTCAATTATTCAGTCTATTTCTTTCCAGCTATAACAATAAGAAACTCAACAAAGCTTCGACATTTACATTGATCTGCGAATTTGGATATAAATACTTTAAAGCTGGTATTAAAACTATAAAGGAACAATGTAACTTTTCTTAGTAATTATACTGTAACTTTTCTTCAAGAACTTCACTTGTGATTGTTTCTGAGTGAGCCAGACCTGACTGAGTTACTTCACAGTCACTCCTGAAAGCTTCCAGCTCTGTTGCTTTGGTTCAGTTTTGCTAAAAGGTCACGTTGATTATTGTTGCATTGGCAGTGTCTCATTCTACCTCTTGTCTGTCTCTGCATCCACTCTTCCCTTAGACCTACATTTAGTTACAAATTAAAATGTGTATTTTCTGTTCGCCTTTTACTCTTTCAGTATGGATTATCCCATGTTTTCATTTACCCAGTTCTCTTCCTTACTGGGTAAAATTTTATCTCGGACAGTTTCTAGGTTCGTTTGTTATTCTCCAGTTGCAAAATTTCTGTTTTAACTTAGATGCCTCATTCGGCCACTTTTTTTGTTCTTATTTCTTTTATTAAAGGTCTTTTATTTGATTTATCTCTGGACATGTTTGTAAAAACCATATTTGTCTTCATTTTGAATAATTATTAACTTTCAATATTACTGTAGCCGTTAAAGAATTGTACTTACAGATGGATCTCAACAGATGGCCAAGGAAGTGTAGCTAAAGGCAATTTGCTCATTTATTTCATTTAGATTGTATGCCATTTTAAAATCATTATTACTACAAGTTTATAAATGCTGTATTTACAAATGCAAGGCCTACATTTTGTCAAAAGTATGCATTTAGCAATGTACCAAGTTACTTTTCCAGTATAGGTCTAAGGATATGTTTCATTGTAAAACTTCTCTATTAACTGGATTGTTTGGTTGCGTACATTTGTGCTCAGTTTAGGTTCTTCAACTGCTAGCATCTAGCTGTATTATAAAGCTTATATTACACTGAGCTTTATGGACCTGCAGAACATTAGGGTGTTGTATCAGTTTGATTTATTCTCACCTCCACTGCTATGAGCTCTGTGTTATTGGGCTCTAGTGCCCCCGGTGGCATTGCTGGGTTATGAGGAAAATAAGGGTTGTTTGTTCCAGTACATAGTAGGTAAAGGACAATAATGATGTTGAAGGGAAACACAGCAGCAGGCAAATCCCAGTTGTCCAGTAATGTGGTGAGTCCACTGAACATGAAGACACTGCGAAAATAAAAGAAAATTGAGGGAAGGAATCAGCTTTTTCATAGATTCTGCTCCAGTGTACAAATGATTTGTAAAAAATTGAAATCAAACTCATTCTAGCTTCTGCTATGAGTATAATAAGTAACATGAAACTCTTTCTGCTTTCCTGGATGTAAAACGAACTAATATCAGTGGGGTGTATTCGTTGAATGGGAGAGGTATAATCACAAAGGATGAAATATTTTCATTTTTCACAGCTGCATTTGAAACATTCCCCTTTGTGGGTGGAATAATAGTATCAGGTACAACTTCAGAATCAGAATCAGAAATACTTTAATAATCCCAGAGGGAAATTACTTTTGTTACACGCTCTAGTTACAGTTTTACATGATATATACACACATCCAACTATACAATATAATAAAGATAAAAAATAAGAATAAAAAGAGATAAAATATATATACACATATAGCTCTTCTGTATATATATCTGTACGTATATCTATGTATATGTAAAAACTAAATCCAAATAAAGTGAAAAGTCCAATTAATCCTTCCACTTCAATGATTATGAAACATATACCTTACACCTATTCACATTGAGTAAAAATAAATAAAAATATGCATGCATTCAAAAGATTCAAACATAATAAAAGTTTTTTATTTTAACAGCTCATAAATTATAACAAATGCAAAGAATAATTACACATAGTCCTGTGATATCCTACCTGTGGAAAACTGCAGATGTCAGCCTTTAGTTTGTTTGGTTATTTTAGGGGAATGATTCTAGACTGCTGTATAAACAGTATGTGAGAGATTCATACCTCGTAGCTGACCCCAAAAAGACAGGCACCAGGAGCCACCAGTACCAGTCTCCGGCTGAACTGAAAACTCCCATCAGCAGAGACACCAACATGCCGTTAAATCCATGAAGACCTCCTGCCACCTCAGCACTGCACACAAACAATGTTTCTTATGTTTAACTTGACTTTTTAAAAAGAAAGACAACTTTTCAATAACCTGAAAACATCATTACTGTCAACGTCATTATTACTTTTAACATTATTAAACAGTCTTTAACTCCAAAGTTAAAGTAATTCAGCAACTCTAAATCAGCAAGAACCATTGCTTTCTGGTGAAAAGAATTTGTTTTTTAAAACTTTAAAATAAGGGTGTACATTATGATTATTTTACTGCAGATTTTAACTAAGATGTGCAATCTAGGTCAGCAAAAACAAATTAATTTTGTTTTAGTTTTGGCAACAACTTTTATCACGTGTTGTGTGGCACGATAATTAAATTATTAGCTTGAGCATGTTTACTTTACCAATAGTGTTTACCAATGCTGCCTGACTACAGAGCGAGTTTAATTAAGTAAGGTGGGGACAGAGCAGAGAAATTAGTTTTAAAGGAAAGCAAAACTACAGCTCACTAACACATAAAAAAACAACATTGTCAAGTCTTCAAAAGATTTGGAGCACTTCATGTTTTCTAAAAGTAAAACAATGCCAGCATGAATAGCTACCAAAAGCATGACTATTGAGCCTTAATGTCAGAATCTTTGGTCACTTTTTAGATGCTGCTGTTTGTTTTTTTAGCTGCTTAATGGCAGAGGCAATGTTAGCATGTGCAAACATTGCATGTGTTCCATAAAATCACTGCAGAGCCTTTGTGCTAAAGGAACAATGGAAAATGCTAAGAATGTAAGTAGCAACCTTTTTTGTATACCTATCTATTCTGTCGGTCCAATGTAGATAAAAAAAAATCACATTAAGGATTGCAATTTTTGCAGTGTCTTTTTTTTTTCTTGTAATAGCATAAATTCCACCTGTCTTGTCCAATGATGACAGCTGTGAGCGTTGAGGCCAGTACCCCCAGAGTTCCCAGCAGGCCCTGCCAGGGGGAAGCCCAGTACAGGGCAGCCAGGATGACAGCCCCGCTCAGTGGGTTGTTGGCCAGAATCACCCTAGCCACTCCTCTGAGTCCCCACACAGCCAGCTGCAGCACAAACGATTTATCTGGTGGAAAAACAAAAGCAGTAAAACCAAATATTCACAGCTGTTAAAAAAGTCACAGAAAAATATATTTTGGTCTTGGGGGAGGAATGACAAAATACTATTTCAATGACTGGTATGTAGTTTGAGGCAGAATGCTCTCTACTGTGGGATATACATGTCATGAATAGTTCTACTCATTTTACTCATATGCTTAGGCATCGTTAATTTGGACAGACATGCTTTATCTGCAAACCTATTAAATGAATGCTGTTTTTTTAAACATAGTTATTTTTCCTACGATTTAGCAGTTTTTCAATTTTCCTACCCTTAATGTACTTATCCAAGTTATCCATGTCCCCAGTGCACAACATCAGCCTGTCAAACACTTTCCGACCAAAGCTGGCCTGACTCCTGCTGGGCTCCCGCATCTCTGTTTTAGTTTCAATCCACATTTTGACAGCTGTAGGGTTTCCTCACAGAAAACTGGAGATCCAACGTCCCCCTAATCCAGAAAAACGTCAAACTTTGTTTCTTCTTTATATTCCTCTCACTCCCGTCTTTTTTCATCTACTTCCTTTTTCCTTTGTTTCATCGCTTCTCTTCCTCCTGTAACTCTTCCCCTCTCCATGAAGTTGTAAGGGGTGACTTATAAACTGGTGGGTGATATATTCCTTCAGCTTCATGTGCCACAGTGGAACAAAGTTCAACACTGTCAGCTGTGTGTGATTACAGAGAAGATCATTATTCCCACAGCCTGCTCCTACCCTGTTTTACCATTTCACAATCATCCTGTTTGCTCTCTCTTCAGCTTCAGACACAGAGTGACAGTTCCTCACCTACTGTTTGTCCATTTTAGCTACTCATCCACTTTTTATTGCACCATGTTGATGAATGTTTGTCTTTCCTTCATGTATAAACCCATTAGTGGGTGTTTTATTTCTCAGAATCCCTAACAGTTATCTATGCTGCTCCAGCAGAGTCTGGAGCGGCGTAGATAATGGGGTATGGGTGGAACCTTTCACAGAACTTTAACCAAATAACCATACAGGAGCTTTCTTTTAGCTGTAAAGTGTAGTGTGACACTGACTTGATAGTGCCAAGTAGAAATTGTATTAAAAAACATAGATTTAAAGTTTAAGGTTTTTAGAGTATTCTTCAGAGTTATTGGTCTATATTGTCACCACCAAGCATATATTGCAGATTTGTTGGCTGCACATCTACAGTATGATACAGTTCTCCCAGTCATAAAGGTGCTATCTTGGATAGAGATCTGCGGTCTGTTTCATGAAGCAGGTTTAACTCTAAGTTGTCTAAGCTTGAAAACAGGTAAAATGACCTTTTCGGTTCACGAAGAAAGTTTCCCTAACGTCTGTTTCAGTCACTTTGGTAACATTCTCCCCAGAGCTAACCTGGTCTGTAGCAAATTCGGAGTGTCCTCTATCTCCGCTCTCCTTACTGAAATAGTCAGATATTTGTCGTAGTTTTGTTTATATATATAAAAAAAAAAATATATATATATATATATATATATATATATATATATATATATATATATATATATATATATATATATATATATATATATATATATATATATATATATATATATATATATCATTCACTAGGTCTGCTACACACATCAGGTTTTAAAAGCAAACATTGCATCTCCGTTTGACAAAAATCTAATTATGCAGATTATTTTATTCTTATTTAGTTATATTTACAGTTCATGAAGTACTACTGAAATAATTTTCAGATTATTCGTAAATAGATTAATTAATTCCGCGGAGGAGAAGGAATTACTTTAGGGTTAGGATTAGGATTCATTGGATGATAACAACCTAATGGGCATACTTGCACAATCTGAAGCCATTCTATGGTACTGATAGCTGCTTATAACGGCCATGTATCTGCAAGCAGCCACTTCACTGTGTAAAAGAAGACTGAGTGAACATGAGAAGGGACGCATGAGATGATCCACAACTTCTATATATTAGAACAACGTTTTTAGACATAATTTTCACTCACTGCCAGAAGATTTCACCTAAATAGATACATTGTTCTACAGCTATTCAAGAAATAAATCTGTAATATTGTCACGTAACAACGGCTATGGCAAGCCGTTTTGATATGTACTAGTTTTACTGAATATGTATTCCTGATATTCTGATAGTCTAAATGACCATTTCCACATCTAGAATAAACATTCTGGATGTCTAGAAAGTAATTTCAGATCTCCATATTCCTAATATTACTGGTCCGCATTTGCACAATTTTTTACTATGAGCATTTTTTTTTTCAGATGTCATATATAAATTTTAAGTCAAGTTTATAAATGTCAGAACGGCCACTTAAAATGTGTGAACATTTATAGATATATAAAATAATATATGAAAATTCTTACTAGTTTCAATTTTTTTTTTACTTTATAAAATTAAGTGTCTGCTTCAAAAATGTAATTTAGAAAATATACCAATACAGTTAGATGTAGGAGTGTGATTTTGATCAGGAAGAATCTTATTTTAGTGATCTACAAATGGAACAACAGAGAGGAGTGCTTTTAATAAATGTAAAACAGGCCTGCCATAGATTACTTCATATAAAATGATGCATTACCTGGAGCAACAATCTTCTTCTACACCATCTTTTCTCCTTTGTAGATGTAGCGCTGTTACTCTGTCTTTAAAACACATTCTTCTTTTTTATTTTTGCATTTCTGCGTTAAAATCTCTAGTTCCAGTGGGGTGAAATAGGCACTTCCTGTTGCCTGTTGTCAAGGTGACTCATGAATCGGGGCTGAATTGATAATGGTTTTTCATATTTGTTGGGCACACGTTTAAACCTGAGTGGACCTATTTAAAATTAATTTAACTTATTGATAGCAGCCGTTGTGAACCCGAACACTAAGAGTTCCCGACTTTAGCCTAGATCAATTTAGAGTTGCGGATTGGAATATAAATTAGTTACACCTGCTTCATGAAACAGAACCCTGATGTCTTGATAGTGGAGTCATTACCCTTTTTGTGAAACCCGTGTGAGGATATTTGAGTTTTGTTACATTTAAATTGCATTTGCCACTTCATCATCTCCAAACATCACCCTCGTTGTTTTCTGACGTTATAATCAGCAAGGTGTTTTGTTCCTCACAACGTTTGTATTTTTGAAGAATGGTTGTACGTAAAAAATCAAGAAAAGAAATACCTTCAAAATTACACAGACCAACCTATCTATAACAAATTACTGTCTAAAAGGTATAATGGAAGATGTTCTTTTTCTGGGTGGATCATCAAAATAAGTGGTCCTCCTAATTATTAATTATTCTGGTGATAGGTCTTTGTAAGGCTGTCCTATGTGCCCTTCCCTATTTTCACTTACCAGTGGTGAGTCTGACGTAGTGAAAAAATTACAAATCTACTTTTGGAAACTAAGCTTGTATGATCAATGCAAACAGTTACTTTTAAACAGAGCTTGAACAAGAAGAAATGGGCTCTTGCATGTGTTTAATAAGCCTTCCCTCTCAGGAGCGGGTACAGGGTTGTACGTATGCATTTTGTTTTTAAAAATCCTCCACTATACCTTCAATATTAACATGATGTTAATAATAATTTACCTTGCTTTAAACTTAATGTAACATAATAAATTACATATATTTAAATTTCATTCATATGATATCTCTTGTGACTGTACTTTAACTTTCTGCAGGATGTGAAATTGTCAGCTATGATTTTTAAGGATGAAAAGACAACTAGACAACAACCCTAAAGCTTAAGGTTATCAATATTTCACAAGTAAATGTGGAGCAGATATTGTAACACCCCAAGGTTTTTTTTTACTTAAGTGACATTTTATCTATTTTGTTTTTTAACAGATTCAGGACTTCAAAATTTATTCTTAACATTGTAGTGCTTTAGAAGTACCCAACATTTCAGGCTTATTTACAGTGTCAACATTTCTGGAGGAAAATATATGTAGTTAAACTAGAATGCAGTTCATTTTAAGTGAGGTGGTAAAATAAGGTAAGTTGTAGTGTGTTGGTTAGAGAGCAGGGTGTTTGTGCCCTGGAGAGTCTGCAGAGTGCTGGTTTGAACCTGTTACTGTCACTTTGAGTTACTCGTCAAGACCACCCTTCCTAATGCTCTCCATGTGGTACCCAGTGTGGCAGCACACTGCTCCAAAAGGGATACAAGAATGTCACCAGTGTGGAAAAATAAAAGGATATTTATTTTCCTTTCCTTAAAAAACTACTAAATGACATCAGATTTTATAGATCATTAAAAATTCTAGAATGAGCTTATTTTTGAGGTGACACTTAACAGATATCTTCAACATAACAGTTTAATTAGTGAAAGTCCTATCTCATCTTCTTCTTTTGAGAAATGTCAAGATATTATTTAAAATAACACCATTGCAAGTGTTATGATTGTTCAAAAACAGCAACATAGAACATCAGTAATTTCTCTAAACAGTAACAGCAAAATATATATATATCAGGATTAAGACCTAAAGTAATACAAGTCTGTGTAGAATTTGTTTGAATTTTCCCTGAGGCCATTGAAACAAAAAGCCTTGCTCAAAAGATCCAATTTCTAAAGCTAATGAAGTATGATCCAAGATCATGTTACAAACGAGCTGAAGCTGAAATCACAGCCCATCTGGACATCTAGAAACAATTTCCAAACAGTTTATAGCTGTGCTTTCCCAAAGGCCATCGCTGAGCAGGCAAACTATCCTCTAATATGATAACACTGAGGATTTTGCAACTGTAAAGAAAGTCTACATAATTTGCACAAATAATTGCAACCAAAAGGGCTAGGGAACAGACATTTTTGTAAAATGATATATAGTTAATTAGCAGTGAAATCTTGCTGTTTCCATGGTAGTAGATCCATAGTGGTAATATGTTTTTCAGTTTGCACACAATTCAAAAACCTATTATTTAAATGTGATGTTTTATCTCTACCTGTCTGACTGAAGATAGTGGATGTAAAAGTAAAACCTTAGGTTTCATTTGACTTCTCCTTTACAGTTCTTTCTAGAGACCCCCTACTTGCAAATTTGATAAAAACTTACCAGGGACACATTTACTGACATGTGTGTTATATTAGGAGGAGTTAGTTATTTCTTTTTTTTTTTCAACGTTTTATTGGCATTACACTGTCAGAAGTGCAGGGCTGAAATTCACTGTCTGCATTTAACCCATTCCCTTGGGGAGCAGTGGGCTGCCATTTGTGGCGCCCATGGAGCAGTGTGGGCTTGAGGGTCTTCGCTCCGGGAGCCATAGTAGCAGTCTGAGGGAGTGGGTTTCTAGCCGAGTGGTTAAGGCAATGGTACTTTGAGCAGCTCAAGTGCTGAGCAGAGGCTGAGCTCTGCTAGGTAAGGGGAGGAAACTGTTTTAAATGAAAACCCTGGTAAAAAAAAACAAAACAAAACAAACAAACAAAAAAAATTTTACTTTCTAAAGAACGTAAAGAACTATTAAAATACTTCTTTAAGAAAAACCATGAAGAATAACAACAAGGTGAATTTGTGTTTTGTTTTCTTTTTAATCGGGACTATAACACTTCCTTTTGTTATCTTTATATGAAAATTACATATATATATCTCATGTTAATAACTTTTTTTTAAAGTCCTTTTATTACGAATTTTTCTAATAATCTAGAAGCCTAGTACTCTATGGCAATCACAATAAGGTGATCATGTTTATAGCAATGTTAACTATTGTCGATTAGAGCAAGTTGTCACAGGAATCTAAAAATAACCCTGCCTTATTAAGGTTTTAGAGGAAGAAATCTGAAATAAAACCATTCATACAAATTCACGTCATTAAGTAAAGAGGG